GTAAGATTAGCCCGTAGACAAGTCTGTGGGGTATTGTCGTGATTAATGATTGACTTTGGAGGGCCCAGCCCACTGTGGGCAGTGCTACCCTAGGCAGGTGATCCTGAGTTGTATAAGAATGCAGACTGAGCAAGCTATGGGGAGCAAGCTAGTAAGCAGCATCCCTCTATTGCCTCCACATCAGTTCCTGTCTCCAGGTTCCTGCCTTGAGTTATTGCCACAATTTTCCTGGATTATGGATTATAAATTATAAGATTAAAAAAAAAAAACCCTTTCCTCCCCAAGTTGATTTGGTCATGGTGTTTTATAACAGAAACAAAATGAAACAGCCTGTTACCATTTTTTCTAACTCTATTCATAGAAGCCTTTAAACCTAAATTAACTGTCCAGGTTTTTGTTCCTTTGGATGGCTACAGTGAATGCTGTGGTTATCTAGCTATACAGATATTTTATACTGCTATCACCTCCTACAAGACAAACAGTTTTGTCTTCAGTCACCAACAATATCCTATTAGAGGGAAAAGAATGGTCACTAAAGGTGATGGTCAGTGTTCACTGTCCACCTGACAGGATCTAGACTCGCTTGGGACACGGGTTGCCGAGTGTACATATGGGGGATTGTCTTGATTACATTAACTGAGGTGAGAAGGCACACCACTGTCTCCGCCTCTTTACTGCAGACGCAATGGGATTCCGGCTCCTGCTGCTCCAGCTTTCTCCACCATGATGGACTGAGCCCGGCAAGCATGAGCGGAAACAAGCCACCACCTTCGCAAGCTGCCCTTGTCAGACTATTGCATTGCTGCAACAGGAAAAGAATGTGACAAAAACACAGAAGAACTTTTTCTGAAAACTTTCACAAACGCATTTTCCTGACGCAAGAGGCAAAGCTTATCCTTTTAGGGAATGTGCTTTCACTTGATACTGCTTACATCATATGGAAGTTTACTCTAAGTAAGTGGCAACATGAAAGCCTATGTACAAGTTGCAAGGTCCACAGATAACTAGAAAGTACTTAGAGTAACCCATACTAAACAGCAGGCCGAGTAAGGCACAACAAGGATGCTACCTACAGAGGAGGCTGTGATGCCAAAACTCAACTTGCCTGAAAAACGTCTTTGGGCAACATGGAGGGAAATGAGATTTGAAGAGAGACAAGCCTAGGTTCAAATTCTACTTCTGTCTCGTGATTGATGTACGCTCTTGGACAAATTATGTGATGGGCCCATCCCCCAGTCTCTTCCTTTGTAAAATGGGTATAGTCAGTCTTGGTCACAAAGGCGATATAGAAATTGATACATGAAATGGCAAAACATGAGTAGTTGCTATCACTTGTACTTATATCTGAAGAAGAATTACTTTAGAATGAGAAATCCTAAGTTGTTTCTTCATTATGAAGTAGAGATGTCAGAGTTTTGCATCTTAAAGTTCTTCAGAGACTTTTTCCCCCCTAATTCATCTACCACAGAACCAGAGCAGTAAGCTTAGCTTGGCTCGGTCTGCCTCACTCATCTGTCAACAACATTCTAACGTTCAAACCGAGTTGACAATTGCTGAAGGTGGATGGAACAAAACGGGCTGTGTAACGGCATCGGATTTCACACCTCAGAGAGTTCAAGCTACCAACAATAACATCATATCTCTGTCAATCAAGAGTAATTATGGGGCTTGGTGGACCCATACAAGCAAAACAGTCAGTTACAAAGGGGTCTCCTGACTCTCTCTCTGGCTACAGTTATTAGACATGCTTGATTCTGTGACCCGTGAATATTTGAGTAGAACTTCCTTTTGGACAGAAAGACAGACTGTAAAACTGGGGGAGACATTTGCTCATTTTAAAAATCCTGAAGTAATTTTCCAAATTCATATCTAAGTATTTGCCTCATATTTCAGGACATATTATATATATATTTAAATATCTGAAACAGGGCTGGAGATGGTTCAGTTGCAAAGTGCCCAGGTACCAGAGTTTGGATTCCCCAACACACACTGAAAGTCAGGCATGGGGGTGGGATAACCATCACAATGGAAGGCAGAGGACCAAATTCCTGGAGCCCAATGGGCAGTTCAAATTGGTGAGCTCCAGGTAGAGTAAGCAAACCTGTCTCAAAATCCAAGGTGGACTACAATTGAGGAAGATGCCTCACGTCAACCTGTGCCTTCCATTCACACACATGTAGGTTATCTGTATGTATAGCACGTGCACGTGTGCGCACACACACACACACTCACTCACTCACAAGCTATCCAAAACTGAAAGCATAATTTCATACATAGTAAACACAATGGTCAGACACATCACTGGAGTATTATCAGAGTTAGATGCCTAAGCATCTGCATGGATTTCCTTAGAGCAGGATTCTAAAGTACGTCACTTTCATGAGAAGAAAAGTAGATGAATAGAAAAACAGACCAATCAAATTTATATTCATAAAATTGCTCCATTTCAGCTATTTATAAATATTTTTGTCAAAATGGATTAAGGCTTAACAGCTTATTGTAGAGTAAATTGATATGTGAGTTCTAATTCAAGTTGCATTTCAAGTTTTTATTATAAATAACCTCAATATACAAAAAACCTAGAAACTGACAAGAGAAGCATGTAATTAGGTATGCCCACACATTCTAGGGGGTTATACCCAAGATTTTCAAAATATATCAAATGAAGATATAAAGGGGAAGTCAATAAATTTTATCAAGTATGTTTTTTATTATTTTGTTCTTTTAATCTGGAGAATATTACTGCAAGAGGGTAACAAGGAACAGGTACATTTTAGCAAGATTAAAAAATGAGAGGCTCAACAGGACTTCATTATGAGATGAGAATTTAACCTGTAAGAGCCCCAGGCACAGCATCATAAGCAACAATGTACAACTAACTCCACTGTATTCAAAGAGGCTGCAGTCTACATACTTCTTCCCCTGGTTTTCAACTACTACTGTGCCAGTTACTTTTCTGCTGCTGCGGTAAAACACCAAGGACCAAAAGTGATGTGTGGAAGGAGTTTCTGGATGACAGTTCCAGAGAGAGAAGAATTCATCGTGGTGGGGAGGCGAGGCTGAAGCACAGGTGGACCGACCCTCTCCAGCAAGGCCGTTTGTCCTAACTCCTCAAGGAGCGCCACCAACTGGGGAGAAAGTGTTCAAATGCCTGAGCCTATGGAGGACATTTCTCACTTAAACTACTAACAACTGATTTCTCATCCAACCTTCACGTGAACAATCTGAATTATCTCTTACTCAGCGTGAAAACATGTGGCCACAACTTAATGCCCTTGAAGTACTTTGCTTCCCTCATCCTGACTAGTTTGAAACAAAGTCAAGGTAAAGTGGGTGTGTGGGGGGTGTCATGCTTGCCTTATAATGTGGCCATTTTACATTGACTGACCAAGTTTTTTTGTATGTAATTATTAATGCCAGGGAATGTGATTTAACCACGGTCTGCCTGACTTGTATAGCAATGGCCTGTGTTATAACACACTTAGAATTCATGAGGAATTAAGTAGGAAGCTGAAATTATATAAAATCCGATGTATCCAACCAAATTTTCACTTCACAAGCCCTTAACTATGCAACTTTATGGAATTGACCTCCATGAACCTTAGCTTCATCCCTGGTAGTATCAGAGGGTTGTATGAATAAAAATGAAATTTTGTGCACAAAGTGCATAGACAACTGCACACCAAAGAGCTGAGACGTAGTAAGTTCTTCCTTTCTTTATATACAGTAAGAAAAGATACACAAAATCTTTTGGCAGAAAATCTGGACTAAGAGATAGCCCAAGCAAATGTAGGTAATATGCCTACATGCTGTTTTAATGAACCAAAGAGGAAATGCTTCCATCTTAAAGGTCACCATCAGGCAGACATGAGAATTAACTTCTCAGTCTGTATGACAAACACAAATACCCCAGAAAGAAGCCTTGAACATGTTACTCCCCTTGTAACCTTGGGAGTTTCCTCTGGGGTAGTCATGTCTTATTTTGAGTTTTAAAGACAGAAGCTTAAATATGTAGGCAGGGAGTAAAGGCTTCTAGACCTGGACCATGCTGTCTACCTAGCATTAAGCAAGAGCAGATAAGTCAGTCACAGAAGCAAGAGTATTGCAAACATGATTTATGTCCCATCCTTGAACATGGCAGGAAGGCTGCAAAAGATATTTAGAAGCCGATGCTTCCTCTGAACAAGTCAACAAGTGTGTGCTAATCCCTCTCCCTGGACTATGCTGGCCTCAGATAAAGTGGCAATGTAGAATCTGGGATGAGAAACTATCTCAAGGCTAATGATCACTGCTACCGAAAAGGCCCGGTGCACAGTATAAACACCGGGGTCATACAGCAGATATCCAGGATATTACTCAAAAACACATTGAGCTCAAAGCTGACAAGATAATCTATTCCTGTGAGTGCAAAGCAGTCTGGAATGCCACAGCTATGACCTACTCGAGGAAAGAAAGAAGCACAAACTCTCCAAGGGCCGTGTCTCAGGCTCCTTATGCAGGCAAGGCTCCAACAGACTTCAAAGGAAGTTCAGCCTTAGAAGGGATGACTTGCCTCAGCGGCGCACAGGGGGTATCACTTCCATGATCATGTTGCCATCTACATTTGGTGGACCGGCAAATCCAAATATCTCAGACACGAGTTTAAACAGATGAAAAAAGAAGTGTGAAATAGCTTGGAGACTTGCTTGCAAAAGAAACCTCAGAATTCCAGGAAAAAGACTCAAAACCAGAAGCTTCATACATTACTCCAAAGTCTCAAGAGAATAATCAGTGTGTGACAACATAAAAAATAAAGTCCATCCCCAATATTGTATTCTAGTATTCTAGTATACACGACCCCAAAATTGTGTAGTAAAGAAATTATTTTCCACATTAAACATTCATAAAAGGTCAGTCACATTTTCCTAAATGAAGCTTCAACCATATCTGTTTTTAACAAGGTTTTAACATACGTGGATCTTGATTAATGTAGAGAGCCCAAATCATCAGACAATACTTACAGGAGGACCTGTGGGGCAGGGTCGGGGGAGGAAAAAGAGAGAAAGAGAAATTAGTGAATATAAATGTTAAAATTAATAGACAATGAATCATTATAACCACATCGCAATGCTGAGAACACAAAGGAGACTTAGAACACAATGATTCTTAAGTCTTTCCCTTACATCACAGACCTTTGAGATGACAGAAAAAATAAACTTATGCCCAAACACAAATTGTGCAGAGAATTTGAACTTTTGGGTTCTCCAAAGTGCACTCATGTGTAGCTGAGAGGCCTGTGATCTTTAAATAAAACTGTGTAATACCTACATGTTTAAGTAAAATATGAGTCAGGAGAATCTTGACTGTTTTTGACAGGCTACTCCAGAGAATTGAGCTTGATAAACAGTGAAATCAGCAAAGCCTATCATTTGCTGAAGGCTGCCCTTGAAGAACGCCCTTCCTTCAACGCTTCCCCAATGCATGAAGGCCCAGGCCTGGTGTCTCTAGAGGTTTCTTGAAACCAGAACACAGGCAAACACTGAGAACATTTCTGTATTTCACACACCATATGCTCTAAACACCAACTCTAAGTGACTAGGCGGTTGGGGAATGATTTTGATCTTGTCTATAGAACTTCCTCCTTAATCTTTTGACACAAGATTGTTTGGGTGATTGTCTGACTCCAACAACGTTTTATCGTTTCTTTTCCTGGCTAGAGTGGGAGAGGCATCGAGTTGGGGCAGGTACTGGGGAAACCAAACAAATGAGAACAAACTGAAGGTGCCAAAGCGAGTCCCATCACGCCGCAGGCTGGCCTTGACATTTAATTTTAAAGGATGGGATGAAGCCTCGCTTCTGAACCCTGCCCTGCCAGCTACTCTCAGGGAGGCCTAAGGACGGCTCTTGAGGATACTCAGAAATCAGCAGCCAGCCTCCCCAGGTGATGAATTTTCATAATCCCTTTCACTTTAGCAACCTTTTTAAAAGGGAAAGAGGAAATAGAACATCCCAGATTCAGCCTGCTGCCTGCTCTTCCTGACAAGCTAGGGTTCTACTCTTTCAACACCTGGCCAGTGACTATCTTATATCTTGATAAATCCTAGCATTAGATAGTGGAAACCCCCATTTCAGAGCATGCTGGAGTCACCATGAAAGGAAGAACTGATGTTCTCATAAGAAAGCCATCTGGATACTGGCCCTTCTGAAATCTCAGACTAAGATTAAGAGCAGTAACCGACCTTACTTATTGCTATATCTTGGTTTCAGAAATATCTTAATTTGGTCTTTTCTACTTTACTTTACCTATAGGAATTTGTCCTGAAATCATGAACTACTGAAGCAGGGAGTCAGGACAAAGGATTGTAATAGCCCTGGCCAGATCAGTCAACAGCTCCATTTCCTCAATGACAACATGGAAACTCCAGACAGACTAATGACACCGCACTCATCACCGAAGCGCTGTGGCTATACAGGGGCTACTCCTACAGTCTGTAAGAACAGTAAAGCAGTATGACAAACTGTGCCAGTTGGATAAAATAATAGGGCTTTCCAAGGTATTCTCCTTGAAGTGCTAAGACAAATACCCCCACACTGCTCACCCAGAGAGAGGACGCATGGTCATGTTGCCATACCATGTGCGAGTGAGAAACCCACCAAGGAACACAGGACAGATGGGTTGACTTTGGTCAACAAGCAAGCTAAAACCGGGGGGTGGGAGTGTCAGTGGTTACTAAACCATAATGGACATTTTGCCAATACTTCCTTCTTAGAATTTGTTGAAAATTAGGGTCTTTTCTGAAATTCAAGGTCTAGAATAGAAGTGCCAAACACACACACACACACACACACACACACACACACACACACACACACACACCTTTCAACAAGGAACAGCACCACTAATTAATGGGAACAAACATAGCTACTGTACCAGAACTTTCGGAACACGAGGCAGTCACTTACCAGACTCTCCTCTTCGGCCCCTCTTCCCTCGCTTCCCCGGAGGACCTGAAATACAACAGATTATTTGTAGTGTAGCTTCATTTCTTCTGCTTGTATAATGGCTGCTACAGAATGGCTATATCTTTGCTCCCTGCTTTTCAGCACCAGCTTTAAGAAAAGTACTCGGTGTTCATGAAGGGCAATACTCTTCTGTGTTTCAGCAAAGCTAAGCTCTATTTCATCCCCAATGCTGGTCTAGCTAACCATCTACCCCAAACCACTAACAAGTCAGAATTTCTGCTCATCCCATTTACATACCATCAATATTGACCAGATTTGCTAAGCAAGCAGGTGAGGTGTCATTTTTCTGAAGGTCTCAAATTATAAGTACCAAAACTAAATAACTATTGTTTATCTTCAGTCAGGTTGAACATGATTCTTCTGAAACTATGTGGATAGCAATTAATTAATTTACATTCACACTTGAAAAAATATTTCTGTTAAATGTGAATATCATGGAATTCCTTGATGACCCCATTAAGTGTATTACATGTAACTTTAAGTCTGATTTTTCTATAGAGACAAAAATCATTATCATTTAATGAACAGTTAGCCTTAATGATGATGCAATTCAAAAAGTAGAAAAAAAATAAAACAAAACAAAAAACATTCTAAACCTTTTTATTTCAGTGAGTTGCCTGTAAGGACAACCAAGTCATTCTGCATCAGCCTTAGCACATCAAATTCTAGCCATTTGCACTTCAAGACATTGTTCTCAATTACACAACTTCTATCCATATTTCCTGGGGTAAAAATAGCTTCCACTGAATTATGGCTCAAGTGAACAGAAGAGAGAAATCAGCCCACAGTGAGGACTGAGTGCTTCTAATACTCGCTGGGAGAAAAAGCCAAGGAAAACAAGAGCGCTGTAGGCTGCTAAGGATGAACTGCTGAGTAGGGCTCAAGACTTCTAAACTCCAGAAAGTTCCAGAGACACAGTGACTGTCATCATGATTTTGAGTTATCAGCTCTAACCAGACACTACCATGAGCAGTGGGAACACTGGTAGGCCACCCAGCTTCCCCTCTAGCTCACACAGGAGAAGTATGGACATCTGTGTTGATAGCAGGGTAAAAAAATTAATTAAGCAACAAAATCAATTTAAGATACTAGGAGATCCAGCTTTATAGCAAAACCCAAACTATCAGTAGACTTTTGGATTTCTTTCTATATTCTAGAAGAAGAGGAGAATTCCATACATACTCATTCCTAAAGACTGGGACAGGAAAATTAAATAAGTAAATAAACATGATAGGCTCTTACTATATAAGAAAAATATACTTTATACACTTGCTCAAACTCACACATGGACATATGTACTGACAGATTCTGGCATTTTCAACTCCTGAGGATAGATGTTTGTAGTGTAAAATCACTTAACGAAGGAAACTTAGCAGGCTCATAAGTGGTGGACGTGGTTAACAATAGAAGCCACTGTTGAAGAGGAGACTATTTTTTTTAAGCAAGGAATATAGGAGTTCTATGAACTGATTGATACTTTAAGTGACAAACAAGAATACTCCACATTAAACTCACAGAAGAAGAAATTTACCACTCAAAGGTAAGGAGACAGCATCAGGAAGATCAGGGGCTCAAACACAGTCGGAGGCATCCGGATTGGCTGCTAACTTATCAATAAGAAAGTGACAAAGAAGCAATTTTATCTCCAGGAGAAACCCAAAAAAGCAGAGTAATGCTATTTCTAAACACATCTTCTTCGAATATTCAATCACAAATCTTCTAGAAATCAATCAAATGCCAAAGAAACTGTGCAACAAAAGGAAATGGAGTGGAAGACATTTGAAAGATGGCACCCCCTGAGGATGACAGGGCTTTATGAAGAATACCATAATATTTGAGAGACAGTGAATCCACACTAAGTGGTAAGATGAGAGCCTAAAATACATTGAACTTACGACAAACACTGGATTGAGGAAGAGTATGAGATAATGAAAAATGGATGCAGAAGTCTACAGTGAGTGACCTCTAACATGAGGTAAGCAAGCTAGTGAACTGTACAAAATTCTCAGCACCATCTAGATATCTTGCTGGCAAAAAAGTCAACCAAAGTTTGAAGAAGTCCAACAAACAGATAAGAACACTGGGCTTGCCTCTAAATTTAAGATCAAAACCAAAGTGAAAAACAGAATGGGAGAGATGGATTGGACAATGAACAACCACAGAGCAGCCGAGAGAGAAGATGAAAACTCCCAGACAAAACTACTGGTAAGAGCTGATAAGCTGGGCAGTAGTGGTGCATGCCTTTAATCCCAGCACTCGGGAGGCAGAGGCAGGTGGATCTCTGTGAGTTCGAGGCCAGCCTGGTCTACAGATGAAGTTCCAGGACAACCAAGGCTACACAGAGAAACCCTGTCTCAAAAAAAACCAAAGTGGTGTTGGAGGAGGGAAGAACTGACAAAAGACAGTGACCTTGTCCACCCACACAGGATAACTCTGTTCAAACTCCTTTGCTGTTTTTGTTGCTGTTAAAAGTTTCATTTTGAAATTAGCTTAATAATTAGGTTTCCATAAGGCTTCTTCATACATCCTTATTTTAGCTAACCAGTCCACTACCCTCTTCTCCCTGACTCCCCACCCCCAGTCCTGCCGAATCTCTTAACACTCACTATGACCCCTCTTCCTTCTTCTTACATGTGTCCTGCTATCCCACAACTGGGAAAAAATTGAATTGTAGCCTCCCATATGGTTTTTCGTGCCGTCTTCCTTTGGGTTAGCCCTGTCCTTTACACTCCCTGATTTCCTCCATACTCCACACCCTGCCCTGTCCCACTTCCACCTTCCTACTTTCCTTTTACCTGTAACACACCATCTTCCTCCCCTCACATGATCCCCCTAGATCTCTTTCTGGTTTGCACACTGCAACTTGTGCTCCAACTTAAATATGCAAAATACAATACTTGAAATTAAGATCTGTATATGAGAGAGAAGATGGAGGGTTTCTCTTTCTGAGTTACTTCACTCAGTATCTTTTTTTTCCAGTTCTATTTATCTGCAAATTTCATGATTCCATTTTTCTTGACAGTTGAGTAATATTCCACTGTGTATCCATGCCCCATTTTTCTTACCCATTCATCTGTTCATGAACATTTAGGCTGACTGTTTGCTAGCTACTGTGACTAGGACAGCAGTGAGTGTGTTTATCTAAGTGTCTGTATAGTAGGATACAGACTGTTGTGTATTTGCCCAGGAATGGTATAGCTGGGTCATATGGCAGTTCGAGTTCTAGCTTTTGAGAAGCCTCCAGACTGACTTCTAAAGTAGTTGAACTCGTTTACACTCCTATCAGCAGTTCCTCTTTCCCCACATCACACCAGCACTTGTCATTTCTGTCCCTGATGATGGCCATTGCTCCTGTGATGGGATGTAATCTTAAAGAAGTTTTGATTTGCAGCTCTCTGATGGCTAAAGATGTTGAACACTTTCTAAAGGGTTTCCTAGTCATCTGAATTTCTTCTTTGGACATTTTTTGTTTAGTTTTGTAGTCCATCTTTAAATTGGGTTATTTTCTTATGGTTTGGGTTTTTTTAGTTCTTTGTATATTTTAGACACTAACCTATCAGGTGACTATCTAGAAAAGATTTTCTGTCGGCTGCCTATTCACTCATCTCACTACTTACTCTGCTGAACACAGGCTTTAGGTTTCCCAAGATCTCATCTGTTAACTGTTAGTCATATTTCCTTTGCTATTGGAGTTTTATTCAGACAGTTCTCCTTATCCATGTCTACACATTGATGTATGCTCCCTACTTTTTCTTCTAGAAACTTCTGAGTATCAAGTCTTATGTTGAAGTTCTTGACTCTGGAGTTCAGTTTTGATGTGGTGAGAGGTAAGCATCCAGTGTGGGATATCTCTTTACAAGTAATTTGTCAGGGAAGCCCCAGAGGTCTCCAGAACAATACATGTGTGGTTGATATATTGTGCACCCCAATAAACTCATCTGGGGGTCAGAGAACAGAACAGCAGCTATATTAAACACAGATGTTAGGCAGTGGTAGCATATGCCTTTAATCCTAGCATTCCAGAGGCAGAGATCCATTGGTATCTCTGTGAGTTCAAGGCCAAACTGGAAACAGCCAGGCATGGTGACACACTCCTTTAATCCCAGGAAGTGATGGCAGGAAGCAGAAAGGTATATAAGGCGTGAGGACCAGGAACTAGAGCCCCTTTTAAGCTTTTAGGCTTTTAGGAGCAGATCAGCTGAGATCCATTCAGATGAGGACTCAGAAGCTTCCAGGTTGAGGAAACAGGATCAGCTGAGAAGTTATTGAGGTGGGGTTAGCTGTGACTTGTTCTGCTTCTCTGATCTTCCAGCATTCATCCCAATACCTGGCTCCCAGGTTTGTTTTTATTAATAAGACCTTTTAAGATTCGTGCTACAGACAGGCTCTTGCCATTGTTGTTGGTTACCCACCATAACTACAAAATAAGTCCCTACTGCTGAAGACACCACATGCTTTGGCTGCAGGATACAGAGACGTCAATCTCAAACTGACCAGGAAACAGGCTCTGTGCTGGGCTAGCTTGCATAGTACTGGAAGGTGCTATGCAGGCTGCTGAGGGGAAGAAGACACCAATGGTGTTACCCAATGCTGGACCATGAATGCTACAATATTTATTGTGCCAACTAGTACAATAGCGGTGTGGTGGTTTGTAAGAAAATGGCCCCCAAAGAGAATGGCACTATGTGTGGTCTTGTTGGAGGAAGTGTGTCACTGTGGGGGCAGGCTTTGAGGTCATGTTCTCAAGCTTCACTCAGTGTGACAGTCAGTTGATTTCTTGTTGCCTGCCTGTCAAGATGTAAGGACTCTCAGCTCCAGCACCGTGTCTGCCATTCTCCCTGTTATGATGATAATGGACTGAACCTCTGAAACTGTAAGCAAACCACCCCAATTAAATGTTTTCTTTATGAGTTGCTGTGGTCATGGTGTCTCTTCATAGCAACAACAACCCTAAGACAAGCGGCATAATAATTTTGGGATAACTA